CTGGGTGAGGGCCGCGTGTGACAGGGCAGGCCCTGGGTGCTGGGTGAGGGCCGTGTGACAGGGCAGGCCATGGTGCTGGGTGAGGGCCGCGTGTGGCAGGGCAGGCCATGGTGCTGGGTGAGGGCTGCGTGTGACAGGGCAGGCCCTGGGTGCTGGGTGAGGGCCGCGTGTGACAGGGCAGGCCCTGGTGCTGGGTGAGGGCCGCGTGTGACAGGGCAGGCCCTGGTGCTGGGTGAGGGCCGCGTGTGACAGGGCAGGCCATGGTGCTGGGTGAGGGCCGCGTGTGACAGGGTAGGCCCTGGGTGCTGGGTGAGGGCCGCGTGTGACAGGGCAGGCCATGGTGCTGGGTGAGGGCCGCGTGTGACAGGGCAGGCCATGGTGCTGGGTGAGGGCTGCGTGTGACAGGGCAGGCCCTGGGTGCTGGGTGAGGGCCGCGTGTGACACGGCAGGCCCTGCCTGCTGGGTGAGGGCCGTGTGACAGGGCAGGCCCTGCCTGCTGGGTGAGGGCCGCGTGTGACAGGGCAGGCCCTGGGTGCTGGGTGAGGGCCGCGTGTGACAGGGCAGGCCCTGGGTGCTGGGTGAGGGCCGCGTGTGACACTGGGTGAGTGTGTTTGGTGACTGAGCATCGTGAGTGTCACAGTGGAGTTTTAATAAATACATTTCCTAGCCTGAAACAAAGCTCAAACCTGCCCCTCAGGCACCAAACAGAAGTCTCTGGACTCAGGCTGAGGCATTGTCTCAATTCTTGCTGTCCCACAGTCCTTCCCGCTGCATGGCACCTGTGGAGCAAACACAGGACTCCCGGGAAAAGCCAGGAGCTGGCAACCCGGTGCAGCAAAGGGCAGCTGTGGTCACTCAGGAGGGCTCTCCCTGTGAGCAGACCTGGGGAGGACTCTCCCTGTGAGCAGACCTGGGGAGGGCTCTCCAGGGGTCTCCCTGTGAGCAGTCAGGCCTCCCTTATGACAAGGTGGACCTATCCTCCCTCTGGTTTACACTACCTTGTGTTGGAGGGTGAGCAGTCAGTCG